AGTGAGCCAAGATTGTGCCACTGCACTCCAGACTAGGTGACAGAGTAAGATACTGTCTAAAAAAAAAAAACTGACCAAATAATAGTATGGATAGTATTGTTTATTGAGCACTAACTCCTTAAATAAGCACTAATCTTATTTAATACAACAACTGTATGAGGTCAGTATTACCATTTTATAGATAAGGAAATTGTGGTTTAGAGACATTAAGTAACTCTCCAAAAAGTCAAATGGCCAGCAATTGATAGCTAGCACACATCTACCAAATATTAGGTTGGTGCAAAAATAATTGCAGTTTTTGCCACTGAAAGTAATGACCAAATAAAAAAAAGTAATGGCTATTATCAGATGTGTAATTAGTTGTGTCCTTCTCCACCAGAGGGCGCAGTCCTGCACCCGAGACATGCCGTGAAAAACTGATGTGGGGTAGATTTGAAAGTAGGCTCATGACCCCAGTCATTGGTAACAGCAATCAGTGGTGGAATCAGGGGATTCTGAAGTCAGAGGACTCAAACTTGGAAATGAGAAATCATCTAGAAATCTAGATGATCACGGGGCCTCAAACTGGAATATTCAAGTTCCCTTTCATGTACATATTCAGCATTCTCCAAGCCTTCAGACAATATTTCTCCCTTTTTGGTTTGTCGCCCCATGGGGACAAGTGTATTCTACATTTATTTTTACTCTGGTAAATTATAAAGTAATGAATGACAGATAGTTCTAACTTAATTGACAGGCTCCCCACCAACATTGCAAATAAAATGACTTGAAAATTGTCATCTCAGAACCCTATGTCTGCATTTAATTTTCGTAATCTAGGACTCTTTTCTATCTAAAGCCAGTAAATAAGGAAACTTTATTTCCACTTCTTTCTACTGTACTTTGGCAAAAATCGATTCTGGACTTCTTACTACTATTTCATTGTGTCCTTTCAGGTGGATGTGAGTCTGTCTCATTTATTGGTTACATCCTTACACATGTATCATTCTTACCCATCTCTTAGTCTAGTCTACCATGGAAACAGTAGGTGATGACAGGACAGTAATAAGCATGAAATTCAAAACCAGAAGGGTGAGCTGATGCTGGAGCTACAAGGTCATTATTGTCTGCAACTGGAGTGGACCATTCCTGCTGTCTTGTGCTTGGTATGGCACTGACATAAAGATACAGTAAGACTGAAAGTAAAGATTAGGAAAAAGGCTTATCAGGTAAATACTTACAAAAATAAAGGTGTACTGGCCGGGCACAGTGGCTCACACCTGTAATCCCAGCACTTTGGGAGGCTGAGGCAGGCGGATCATGAGGTCAGGAAATCAAGACCAGCCTGGCCAACATAGTAAAACCCCATCTCTATAAAAATACAAAAACTTAGCTGGGCGTGGTGACAGGAGCCTGTAATCCCAGCTACTCAGGAGGCTGAGGCAGGAGAATCGCTTGAACCTGGGAGGCTGACGTTGCAGTGAGCTGGAATTGTGCCACTGTACTCCAGCTGGGTGACATAACATAAAAACTTTGAACTTGCTTGTACTCAATAACATAGTCTCAGTTTAAAACGCATTGATAAATTTGACTTTTTTTTTTTTTTTTGAGACAGGGTCTCACTCTTTTGCCCAGGTTGGAGTGCAGTGGCAGTATCACAGGTCACTGCATCCTCAACTTCCTGGACTCAAGGAATCCTCCCACCTCAGCCTGCTGAGTAGCTGGGACCACAGGTGTGCACCACCATGCCCAACTAATTTTTTAAATTTTTAGTAGAGACAGGGTCTGCCATGTTGCCCAGGTTAGTCTCAAACTCCTGGACTCAAGAGATCCTCCCACCTCAACCTCCCAAGTGCTGAGATTACAGGCATGAGCCACTGCACCTAGCCAAACTTGACTACTTTAAATTGAAAGACTTCCATATGACCAAAGACACTATTGACAAAAAAGTATCCTAGCCACAGATTCAGTACATGTCTGTAACAAAAATAACAAAAGGGGAGGGATTAGAATAATGAATTAAATAAAAGGGCTACTACAAATGAATAAGAAAAAGAAAAACAAGGCAATCAAAAATGGACAAAAGTCAGCCCAGTGTGGTGGCTCACGTCTGTAATTCCAGCAGTTTGGGAGGCCAAAGTAGGCAGATCACCTGAGCTCAGGAGTTCAAGACAAGCCTGGTCAACACGGTGAAACCCCATCTCTACTAAAAATACAAAAAAATTAGCTGGGTGTGGTGGCGGGCACCTGTAATCCCAGCTACTCGGGAGGCTGAGGCAGGAGAATCACTTGAGAGGCAGGGAGAGTCACCTGGGAGGCAGAGGTTGCGGGGAGCTGAGATCATGCCACTACACTCCAGCCTGGGTAACAGAGCGAGACTCTGTCTCAAAGAAAAAAAGGACAAAAGTCATAAGTTAGAATTTTACAGAAGAAGAAAAATATATGGCCAATAAACATATGAAAAGATCACTATCACATTAATCAAATTTAAACCATGATAAGATACCATTTCATACCCATCAGATAAGCAAAACCAAAAGGTCTGAAAATATCAACTATTGGTGATAACGGAGAGCACCAAGAATTCTCATTCACTGCTAGTGCAGGCTGTAAATTGGTATGATCACCTTGGAAAACAAGTTAGCACTATTTCACAAAGTTGAACACGTGTATACCCTGTGACCCAGCATTCCAGTCTTAGGTAAATACCCTATAAATTCTTGCTCCTGTACACAAGGACATACACAAGAATGTTGTTTCAAACAACATTGTTTGAAATGGCCAAAGAAAGGGAAAACAAGGCCAGGCGCAGTGGCTCATGCCTGTAATCCCAGCCCTTTGGGAGGCCAAGGCGGGCGGATTGCCTGAACTCAGGAGTTCGAAACCAGCCTGGGCAATATGGTGAAACCCCATCTCTACTAAAAATACAAACATTTAGCCGGGCGTGGTGGCAGGTGCCTGTAATCCCAGTTACTTGGGAGGCTGAGGCAGGAGAATCAATTGAACATGGGAGGTGGAGGTTACAGTAAGCTGAGATCACACCACTGCATTCCAGCCTGGGCAACAGAGTGAGACTCCATCAAGGAAGGAAGGAAGGAAGGAAGGAAGGAAGGAAGGAAGGAAGGAAGGAAGGAAGGAAGGAAGGAAGGAAGGAAGGAAGGAAGGAAGGAAGGAAGGGAGGGAGGGAGGGAGGGAGGGAGGGAGGGAGGGAAAAAGGAATGAAGGAAGAAAGGAAAGAAGGAAAGAGAAAGAAAGAAAAGAAAAGAAAGAAAGAAAGAGAGAGAGAAAAGAAAAAGAGAACGAAAGAAAGAAATTAGGGAGGGAGGGAGGGGAGGAAAAGAAGAAAGAAGAAAGAGGGAGGGAGGGATGAAGGGAGGAAGGAAGGAAGGAAGGAAAGAAGGAAGGAAGGAAGGGAAAAGAAAGAAAGAGAAAACAAATCTAAATGTCCATCAACAGGAATTTTTTTAACTTTGAATGCTCCAAGGAATGATTTTTAATCCAATTAATTCATAATGCATTACCAAATCAGTTTCAAGGTCAGTACTCCTTCCTTGGATAGATTTCAAATGGATAGATTCATATATGAATACGTGTAAACACTCTAAATAAGGGACAGGCTACCCTGCACGGTTGGTGTCATTAACTGGAAAAAGCTGTGTGGCTCTTTGTCTCCCACAGGGGCTCACAGGGTTGAAATGCTTGTTGAGTTTACCATGGTTCAGATACTGGCCCTCTGATATGCAAGTCTGAAACTTGATTTGTCACTTCAGTAAAGGTAAATCTATGTGTCTAGGAGGACTCACATTAGCGAAGAGACTGATATATGAAATTAGAATATCAATTTCTTTCTTTTTTTTTTTGAGACAGGGTCTCTCAGTAGGTCAACGCAGGCTCAGGTGCAGTCACGGCTCACTGCAGCCTCAACCTCCCAAGCTCAAGCAATCCTCCCACTTTAGCCTCCCAAGTAGCTGGGACCACAGGTGCGCACCACCATGCCCAGCTAATTTTTTAAATGATTTTTGTAGAGATGAGGTTTCCCTATGTGATCCAGGCTGGTCTCGAACTCCTATGCTCAAGTGATCCTCACATCTTGGCCTCCTGGGATTACGGGACTGAGCCACCACACCTGGCCTCAATTTTTTTTTTTTTTTTTTTTGAGATGGAGTCTCTCTCTGTCACCCAGGCTGGAGTGCAATGGCGCGATCTCAGCTCACTGCAACCTCCACCTCCTGGGTTCAAGCGATTCTCCTGCCTCAGCCTCCTGAGTAGCTGGGGTTATAGGCACATGACACCATGTCCAGCTAATTTTTATATTTTTTAGTAGATTTGGGGTTTCACCATGTTGGTCAGGCTGGTCTAGAAGTCCTGACCTTGTGATCCACCCACCTCGGCCTCCCAAAGTGCTGGGATTACAGGTGTGAGCCACCACGCCCACAGTTTTTTTGTTTTTGTTTTTGTTTTTTTGAGACAGGGTCTCACTCTCTCGCCCAGACTGGAATGCAGAGGTGGAATCTCAGTTCACCAAAACTTCTGCTTCCTAGGCTCAAGCAATTCTCCTGCCTCCGCCTCCTAAGTAGCTGGGATTACAGGCACACACCACCACTGTCTGGCTAATTTTTGTATTTTTAGTAGAGATGGGGTTTCACCATGTTGGCCAGGCTGGTCTCAAACTCCTGACCTCAGGTGATTCACCTGCCTCAGCCTCCCAAAGTCCTGGGATTACAGGCGTGAGCCACCGCGCCCTGGCTGCCCCACTAATTTTTTTTTTTTTTTTTTTTTTTTTTGTATTTTTAGTCTAGACGAGGTTTCACCATGTTGGCCAGGCTAATTTTGAACTCCTGACCTCAAGTGATCAGCTCGCCTCAGCCTCCCAAAGTGCTAGGATTACAGGTATGAGCCACTGTGCCTGGCCACTTCTACAAAAGTTATAAACCCCATAATACATGCCCATTACTTTCACCCTAGATAGTTAAATATCTTTTAAAGATGTTAAAAGCAAGAAAAATATATTTTCTATTTACCCACACATTTGCCATTTCTGGTGCTCTTCATTCCTTTGTGTAAATTCAAGTGTCCATCCGGTATAATTTTCTGTCAGTCTGAACAACTTCCTTTAGCATTTCTCATAGTACAGTTTTAGTGATGAATTCTTTTGCCTTTAGCTTTCCTGAAATATGAATCCATTTTTAGGTTATGCCTTCGTTTTTGGAGAACATTTTCACTGCATATAAAAGTCTAAGCTGACAGTGTTTTTCTTTCAGCTCATTAAAGATGTCATTCCACCATCTCCGATTTGCATTGTTTTTGATGAGAAACCAGTCGTCAGTCTCATCTTTAAAATTTTCTCTCAATCAGGCCAGGCATGGTGGCTCATGCCCGTAATCCCAACACTTTGGGAGGCTAGGGTGGGTGGATCACTTGAGGTCAGGAGTTCAAGACCAGCCTGGCCAGCATGGTGAAACCCTGACTCTACTAAAATAAAAAAATTAGCCGGGGATGGTGGCGCATGCCTGTAATCCCAGCTCCTCAGGAGGCTGAGGCAGGAGAATTGCTTGAGCCTGGGAAGCAGAGGTAGCAGTGAGCCAAGATCGCGCCACTGCACTCCAGCCTGGGTGACAGAGCGAGACTGCATCTCAAAAAAAAAAAAAAAAAAAAAATCTCTAATCACTGGTTTTCAAAAATTTGATTCTGAAATGCATTGTGGTTTCCTTTGTGTTTATGCAGCTTGGCATTCACTGGGATTCTTAGATGTGTTAATTTATAGTCTTCAATATATTTGGCACATTCCAAATGTAGAATGAGAATTACAAAACTGAGAATTGTATTGCACTAATATATATTACAGAAAGTAAATAAAGAGTGCTTAACTACTATTCACAGGTACTTAACTATTTTTTGTTTTGTTTGTTTTGTTTTGTTTTGTCTTTTTGAGACAGAGTCTCGGTCTGCCGCCCAGGCTGGGGCACAGCGGTGCCATCTTGGCTCACTGCAAGCTCCACCTCCGGGGTTCACGCCATTCTCCTGCCTCAGCCTCCTGAGTAGCAGGGACTACAGGCACCTGCCACCACGCCCGGCTAATTTTTTTTGTATTTTTTAGTAGAGACAGGGTTTCAACGTGTTAGCCAGGATGGTCTCCATCTCCTGACCTCGTGATCCACCCGCCTCGGCCTCCCAGAGTGCTGTGATTACAGGCGTGAGCCACCGCACCCGGCCCTATTTTTGTTTTTAACCATGGCTTCAGAGACTAAGAATTGAAAGAAAGTTTGGGAAAATTTAGCAAGAAATAGGTTTCTGACATTTTAAAAGAAAAAGAAAAAAAAATAGAAAGTCTGGGAAATGGTTATGTCTGCTGTCCTGTCCAGATTCTAAGCATTATAACTGCACGATTTCCCCCTATCTGGTATCTGTAAAATATCTATAAAAAGAACAAAGGGCCAGGTATGGTGGCTCACGCCTGTAATCTCAGCACTTTGGGAGGCCAAGGCAGGTAGATCACTTGAGGTCAGAAGTTTGAGACCAGCCTGTCCAACACAGTGAAACCCTGTCTCTACTGAAAATACAAAAATTAGCCAGGCGTGGTGGTGCACACCTGTAATCCTAGCTACTTGGGAGGTTGAGGCAGGAGAATTGCTTGAACCCGGGAGGCAGAGGTTACAGTGAGCCAAGATCGTGCCACTGCACTCCAGCCTGGGTGACAGAAAAATTGTGTGAATTGATATATTCTGTATCATGGCCTTTTGAACATTTTCTCCTACTTTCATCTTTTCTGTAAGCTTGCTTCTTTAAAAAAAAAATCTGCAAGTGTAGATTATAGTTGAATGCTATTTAGGTCATGAATAAGGCCCACTTCTAAAGTGAGACAGACTTGTAAATAATTTACCCAGGTGATGTGTTCTGGATTGAACCACGTTCACATGGTGTCTGGCCAGGCAGATAAAATGCTCCCAGGAAAGTGCAATGGGGTTTACAATACTGATTATCCATACTCTAATGATTCCTGATTCTATGACTATTGAGCCACACCTCATTGGTTGGCAAACAAGAATCATTACACATTTATTATTCGTGAGGAAGGTCAATGCTTCATGCCAAAGGTCAATGAATAAGAGAATGGTCCTGTGTAAGGGCAGGATAAAACAACTTTAGGGCCCCATTAGGCCATTCGCAGCTGTTCTTCCTAACCCAAAAGTAGTTGGAATCCTTATATCGCCAGGTAGCCAGAAAGGAACAAACATTTAGAGGGCGCCTATTATATTCTAGGCACTCTACAAAGGGCTTTACAACATCATTTAGTATTTACAACCCTAGGAGGAGGAAGCTATTATTATTCACTTCATTTTACACATAATCACACTCAAATTCAAGTACCTTGTCTAAAATCACACAGCTGGTAACTGGCAGCACTGAGATTTGCATCTAAATGTGCCTGGCCAAAAAACAACAACAACAACAACAAACACCCTGCTTTTTCCACCACACAAGTACACTTAGCTCCACCTTCCTAAAAGGACTTACTGAGTCAACTACTCTTTGGCGTCATGCCAAGGGCTGGCATTCTCTAAGTCACTTGCATGGATGGGAGAACCCATAATCCCTGTCTGAGGATAAGTGTGTATTCTATCTATGAGGGAAGAACATAAATGAAGAGATGTGGACCATTTTTTTAAAGTGAAGGCAAGTTTAGTTTTTTTTGTTTTTGTTTTTGTTTTGTTTTGTTTTTGAGACAGAGTCTCGCTCTGTCACCCAGGCTGGGGTATAGTGGCATAATCTTGGTTCACTGCAACCTCCACCTCCCGGGTTCAAGCCATTCTCCTGCCTCAGCCCCCTGAGTAGCTGGGATTACAGACATCCACCACCACACCCAACGAATTTTTGTATTTTTAGTAGAGATGGCATTTCACCATGTTGACCAGGCTGGTCTTGAACTCCTGACCTCAAGTGATCTGCCCACCTCCACCTCCTAAAGTGTTGGGATTACAGGCATGAGTCACCACACCCAGCTGTGAAAGCAAGTTTATTAGGAAAGTGAAGGAATAAAGAATGGCTACTCCACAGGTAGAGCAGCCTGCAGACTATTTTCAAAGTATTGGGACAGCTCTCACCTCAGAAAGAAACGATGGTATTGTGATGCCTCAGCTTTACCAAGTAGATTCACCAACCGTGAGATCTACCTCAATGATCATAGAATCAGGAATCCTCTCAGAGTCATTCTGAGATGATTCATCATAGAATTGGGAATCATCTCAGAATCATTACCAGAGTCTCAGATCATCAGCATTATAATCCCTATTGCACTTTCCTTGAAGCATTTTAGCTTCCTGACCAGACACCATCTGTTCCTGTGAGCAGAAAAATCCTACGGTCTCTGCAATTCTCCTTCTGTGAAGAGGCCTGGATGGAGGCAGCTTCCTGTAGCCTCTCAGGGTGGCAGGGATTTCCTAGCATGTTGATTGTGTCACGGGATCCTTCTGGTGTTGCTTTTCCAGCTAGAAAGCTCTGTGACCAGTAGTGCCTTTGCCTGAGTTTTGATCAGGCTCGCTAGACTCGTTCCACCGACGTGGCCTGGCAAGCTGCGCTCAGCTCATGCTACCAGCCAGGATTCTACGCCTGTCAAGGGTGAGCCAGGCACAGAGCGGCGAGGGTTGTGTAGGCGAGCAAACGCAAGGTCTAGTCACTGCGCACAGCCAGACACACCAGCTGCTGCAGCTGGGCGGGCAGCTCCAGGCGCTGGCAAAGGTGCCAGTTCCATGCAAGTCTGCAGCTGGATCTGATGAACCACAAGCAGCTTCTGCTGTGGGCACCTGTGTCTGGACAAGGGGAATGCAGTGGTGCCCGGAAGTTTGAAGATACCAGAAACCGCAGAGCCCCAAAGAGGGTGTCACAGCCCTGGCTCAGGGAACCCCTAGGTCTGGGCTCCCTGAAGGGCCACAGCACTTCTCTCCTTCACATCACCCACAAGTTGGGGCAGGGGGGTGTGGGGGGAGGAGGGTGTATTTCAGCCCTGTTTGTGTTACTGCTCTTTCAGTCCCGCCATTAAGTGGGTCCTGAGTTCTCGTCCCACATCCAGGAAGAATGAGGCACGCGGACAACTACAGGGTGAGCAAAGCGGAGAGGAGCCTTATTGAGTGACAGAACAGCTCTCGGGAAACTTGAAGTGGGTAGCTCCTTTCCGCAGGCAGGTTGTCCCAGTGAATGTCCAGCTCTCAGTGGAGAAGAGACCCAGAGTGGGTAGCTCCCTTCCTCAGGCAGGTCGTCTTGATGAGTCGAGGAGACCTGAATTGGGTAGCTCCTTCCCACAGCTGGTAGTCCCAGGGTCTGTGTGAGTGGCTAGGCGCAGAAGGGAGGAAGTGCATGCTGATTGGTCCATGGGTGGCCATGGGCTGACCCAGAAAAATCACCGTAAGTTCTCACTCTGGGCCACAGACTTCACCCGCGACTGACAGCCTAGTGCCCGGGCTTCAGGCCTCCCTGACTTGAAGGTGGGGCTTCAACCCACCCCTTTCCACCCAGGAGCCTGTCTGCCTCCTGCTACCATCAATCATGTCGTCCACAGCACCCAGGCTGTTTCTGCAGAGGAGTGCCGGCAGGCCCGCACCGAGCTGTCCTCAGAGTCCCCTGCCCCACGCTGCCAGCCTCCCTCCTGTGCTTGTCAGTGCCCAAAGTCTGGAGGGGGCCAAGGTGGCAGGGGGCTGGCATGTCAGCGGCGCCCCAGGCGCAGGCACACCCAGCTGGGTCTAGACAGCGCTTGGGCTCAGCCACAACTTTGCTGCGCCCCAGAGTGGGCTCCAGGAGCAAGGAGAGGCCAGGCAGCGGGAGCAGACACTTCCAAGCCTTGCGGGGCAGGGGGCTTCCTGGCCCCCAAGAGCACAGGGATGTCCAGGTCTGCAGCTGTGGCTGGGAGGCTGCAGCTGTGCGGCTGCAGCTGTGCCTGAAAGCACGGGGCTCCCACCCAGCCAACTCAGAAGGGGGTGGGGCTCCGGCCAGCCCCACGGAGCACGCAGCCCCTACCTTGCCTCCCCCACTACAGCTGGCATCTTTGCAGTAGCCGCTCCAGACAGGCCGCTGCTGCCATCAATTGTTACTTGTCTTAAACTGTAAGTGTTCCTAACCCATATTGCAGAGCTCTACTTATCAGTCCTATTCTTGTGATTGGGGACAGGGATGCAATGCAGAGGAGAAAGGCCTAGGAAGAGGAAGAGGTTGAGGAGACTGAAACTGTCAAGAGCACTCCCTGTTGTAATTAAAACAAGACGTGCGCTAGTGAAACTTAATTTGTGAGACGTGGACTCAAGTGTTTTGATTGTTTACAGATTTTTGCCCAAGTTCCAGCCTTTGGAGAATATTTCATATAACATCTGTTTTTTTAGAGAGGATTTTTTCTTTTTTTTTTTTTTTTGAGACGGAGTCTCGCTCTGTCGTGCAGGCTGGAGTGCAATGGTGCGATCTCGGCTCACTGCAACCTCCACCTCCTGGGTTCAAGCGATTCTCCTGCCTCAGCCTCCCGAGTAGCTGGGACTACAGGCGCACGCTAAGACGCCAGCTAAATTTTTTTGTGTTTTTAGTAGAGGCGGGGTTTCACCATGTTGGCCATGATGGTCTCGAGCTCTTGACCTCGTGATCCACCCGCCTCGGCCTCTCAAAGTGCTAGGATTACAGGTGTGAGCCATCGTACCCGGCCACATCTGTTTTTTTATTTACCATTTCTGCCAGAAAATCTATGAGGGTCATAATTGCACAGTGGTACAGTAAAAGATTTCTTGACTTCAAAGTCAGTAAACTATCCAGGCGTGGTGTCTCACGCCTGTAATCCCAACACTTTGGCAGGCAGAGACAAGGCAGATCACTTGAGGTCAGGAGTTTGGGACCAGCCTGGCCAACATGGCGAAACCCCATCTCTACTAAACATACAAAAAATTAGCTGGGGATGGTGGCATGTGCCTGTAATCCCAGCTACTAAGGAGGCTGAGGCAGGAGAATGGCTTGAACCCGGGAGACAGAGGTTGCAGTGAGCTGAGATCGTGCCACCGCACTCTAGCCTGGCCGACAGAGCAAGACTCCATCTCAAAAAAAAAAAAAAAAAAAAAAAAAAAGTCGGTAAATCTCAGCTGTACTTCTGACTCTGTTTCTTTTTTAATGAGGTTTCTTTTCTCTTGCCCAGGCTGGAGTGCAATGGCGCGATCTCAGCTCACCGCAACCTCCACCTCCCGAGTTCAAGCAATTCTTCTACTTCAGCCTCCCAAGTAGCTGGGATTACAGGCATGTGCCACCACGTCCAGCTAATTTTTTGTAATTTTAGTAGAGACAGGGTTTTTCCACGTTGGTCAGGCTGGTCTCGATCATTCAGGTGATCCATCCGCCTCGGCCTCCCAACATGCTGGGTTTACAGGCATGAGCCACCGGGCCTGGCCTTTTTAATGAGGTTTCTAGTCAACTATCTGTCACTTTCTAGCTGGGTGACCTGGGACAAGTGCTTTACCTCCTCTGGGCTTCAGTTTTCTTAACTTTTAGATGAGGGATTTGGACTACAGAATTACTTTCTTTTTTTTTTTTTTTTTTTTTTTTTGAGACGGAGTCTCGCTTTGTCGCCCAGGCTGGAGTGCAGTGGCCGGATCTCAGCTCACTGCAAGCTCCGCCTCCCGGGTTTACGCCATTCTCCTGCCTCAGCCTCCCGAGTAGCTGGGACTACAGGCGCCCGCCACCACGCCCGGCTCATTTTTTGTGTTTTTAGTAGAGACGGGGTTTCACCGTGTTAGCCAGGATGGTCTCGATCTCCTGACCTCGTGATCCGCCCATCTCGGCCTCCCAAAGTGCTGGGATTACAGGCTTGAGCCACCGCGCCCGGCCCAGAATTACTTTCTATGCTTCTAAGATGACAGAAATCTCAACAGCAGAGGATGTAGGGCTTTGAAGAAAACCTTTATACTTCCAGATCATATTTATCCAGACCAGTTTTATTTAAACGGCTGATTTTATTCCCAATTTTCCCTGAAGCTCTAGAATGGAAATGTACAATTAATCTCTCCTTTTCATAGTACAACAAATATTTTCTAATTTAATAGACTCCAGATGAGAAAGTAGGACATAATTTAAAAATAAGTAACAATACATGGTAATTAAGACTAAATGAGGCCGGGACCGGGCGCGGTGGCTCACACCTGTAATCCCAGCACTTTGGGATCCCGAGGCGGGAGGATCACTTGGGGTCAGCAGTTCATGACCATACCGTCCAACTTGGTGAAACCCTGTCCCTACTAAAAGTACAAAAATTAGCCAGGTGTGGTGGTGTGCGCCTGTAATCCTAGCCACTCAGGAAGCTGAGGCAGGAGAATCACTTGAACCCAGGAAGCGGAGGTTGCAGTGAGCCAAGATCGCGCCACTGCACCCTAGCCTGGGCGACAGAGCAAGACTCCAGAAAAAAAAAAAAAACTAAATGAAATCACATTTGTAAAATGCCAAACAAGGAATACCACTCACAGTAGGCACAAAGAAATGGAAGAAATGCTGGTTGCATATTTTGTTTTCCCTCTGCTGTAGTACCCCATATAATTAATCTTATGAGACCCTAAAATGTACTACACTTCTCTCAGTCCTATGGTTCTGGGCCCCCTTTTGATCTTCTTGCACCCTTCCCCTACCTCCATCATCCTCCCAAAAGGAATGACTCACCCCAACATCCTCCACCTCCAGAATGAGTTTTCAGGTAATAACCTCTGTTGTTGCCAGCAGACAGACTATGCCAAACATTCACTCGCACCACGGCCAGAACATGGGTCTGTTCCTTGTTCCTCAGGCCAGAGGCTGCTTGGGTGCAGTGTACTCTCGCATTTCCTTCTTTGAAGCATCCTCTATTTTCCTGGATTCACTGTTAACATTTAATTGCCCATTGACAAATGGTACAAAGGTTGGTAAGCTGAATTTTAAACTTTAAAATCTACCGCATGTACCCAGAGGCCACAGAGAAAAGAGAGGGTGCCTTATGCTTTGTGTACGAACAGGCAATTATTTACTATGATCTTCTTACTGAGTAACCTCTATACCTAGATTCAAAGAGCTGATACTTTTTTGTTGTTTTTTTGAGAGGGAGTCTCACTCTGTCACCTAGGTTGGAATGCAGTGGCAAGATCTCGGCTCACTGCAACCTCCACCTCCTGGGTTCAAGCAATTCTCCTGCCTCAGCCTCCCAAGTAGCTAGGATTACAGGTGCCTGCTACCATGCTCAGCTAAATTTTGGTGTTTTGTTTTTTGTTTTTTTGAGACGGAGTCTCACTCTGTCACCCAGGCTGGAGAGCCATGGCACAATCTCGGCTCACTGCAAGCTCTTCCTCCCAAGTTGAAGTGATTATCCTGCCTCAGCCTCCCTGGTAGCTGGGATTACAGGCGTGCACCACCACACCCGGCTAAATTTTGTGTTTATAGTAGATACGGGTTTTGCCATGTTGGCCAGGCTGGTCTCGAACTCACCTCAAGTGATCCACCCACCTGGGCCTCTCAAAGTGCTGGGATTACAGGCATGAGCCAAAGCGCCCACCCAAGAGCTGATACTTTAGGAGGCCTAAGGATGGTTGACTGCACTTTTCAGATACCCTAAGTGTTTATAAGGAGTTAAAGGCTTGATCTCTGAGGTGAGTGATAGGCAGTAGTCTTCCTTTTAGACACAGTCTCAGGAGGGGAGAGAGGAAGGGCTGCCCGGAGGAGGTAGTTCACACAGAATGGGTCACGAATCGTGTATCTGCCCCTCAGTTCTAATTGTACCTGTCCTTTTTCTCCAGAAGGCTGGATCCTTTCCGACCAGAACCAGTACCTTAAGGGCTTGTAATATTGAATTGTGAGTCCCCAGAGGGCAGGTACTATGCCATATTTATTTTGACACTCCCCAAGCACAATGCTTGGTAGGAAATAGACCTTAAGTTTTGGCTAGGCCAGGCGCCGTGGCTCATTCCTGTAATCCCAGCACTTTGGGAGGCCGAGGTGGGCAGATCACCTGAGGTCAGGAGTTCGAGACCAGCCTGGCCAACATGGTGAAACCCCATCTCTACTAATATACAAAAACTAGCCAGGCATGATGGCAGGCGCCTGTAATCCTAGCTACTCATGAGGCTGAGGCAGGAGAATTGCTTGAGCCTGGGAGGCAGAGGTTGCAGTGAGCTGAGATTGCACCACTGCACTCCAGCCTGGGCGACAGAGCTAGACTCCGTCTCCAAAAAAAAAAACAAAAAAACAAAAAAACAAAAACCCAAAACAACAAATAACACAATTTAAAAATGGATGAAGGAGGCTGGGCACAGTGGCTCATGACTATAATCCCAGCACTTTGGGAGGCCGAGGCAGGTGGATCACTTGAGGCCAGAAGTTTGAGACCAGCCTGGCCAACATAGCTAAACCCCCTTCTTTATTAAAAATACAAAAAATTAGCCAGGCATTGTGGCACGCACCTATAATTCCAGCTACTTTGGAAGGCTGAGGTAGGAGAATTGCTTGTACCTGGGAGGCAGAGGCTGCAGTGAGCCAAGATCGCACCACTGCACTCCGGATAGAGCAAGACCCTGTCTCCAAAAAGAAAAAAAAATGGATGAAGGACTTAAATAGACATATCTCCAAAAAAATGTATAAACGGACAATAAGCATATAAAAAGACATTCAGCACCACTAATCATCAGAGAAATGCAAATTAAAACTATAATATCGCCTCACATCTATTTTAACTGTCACTATTTTTTGAAAGGTGGCCAGGTGTGGTGGCTCAAGCCTGTAATCTCAGTATTTTGGGAGGCCTATGTAGGAGGATTACTTGAGCCTAGGAGTTCAAGACCAGCCTGGCCAAGATAGTGAGACCCCCATCTCTACATAAAAATACTTTTAAATTTTTTAAAATTAAAGAAAGGCTAGGCTTGGTAGCTCACACCTGTAATTCCAGTGCTTTGGAAGGCTGAAGTGGGAGGATTGCTTGAGCCCTGGACTTCAGGGTTCAATGAGCTAGGATCATGCCACTGCACTCCATCCAGCCTGGATGACAAACAAAGATCTTGTCACTTTAAAAAATAATAATACAAAATAAAAATAAGCAGAAAACAAAATGACAACTGCTGGTGTAGATGTAGAGAAATTGGAACCTTTACACACACTGTTGGGAATGTAAAACAGTGCGGCTGCTATGGAAAACAGTAGGGAGATTCCTCAAAAAGTTAAAAATTTAAGTAACATGATCCAGCAATCCCACTTCTGGGTATATATCAAAAAAAAAAAAAAAATGAAAATAGGGCCAGGCACGGAGGCTCGCGCCTGTAATCCCAGCACTTTGGGAGGCCGAGGCGGGCAGATCACGTGAGGTCAGGAGTTGCAGACCAGCCTGGCCAATGTGGTGAAACCCCATCTCTACTAAAAATACAAAAATTAGCCAGGCCTGGTGGCGGGTGCCTGTAATCCAGCTACTTCGGAGGCTGAGGCACAAGACTCGCTTGAACCTGGGAAGCGGAGGTTACAGTGAGCCAAGATCGCAGCACTGCACTCCAGCCTGGGCGACAGAATGAGACTGTGTCCAAAAAAAAAAAAAGAAAAAGAAATGTTCATGGTAGAATGGTAGAGAGCAGTGGCCCTTGGTCCAACAAAACCAGCCTTAAGTCATAAACATTCATAACTCTATCATGTCCCAGCTTTAACAATTTTGTAACCCCTGTTGAGCCTCATGTTTTGCCAACTGGAAAGACGGAGCTATTATTTACTTCACAAGATAGTTGTAAGGGCCAGGCTTGGCAACTCACACCTGTCATCCCAGCACTTTGGGAGGCTGAGGCAGGAGGAGTCCTTGAAGCCAGGAGTTCGAGGCTAGCCTAGGCAACTTAGCAAGATCCTATCCCTACAAAAAAAAAAAAAAAAAAAGTTAAAGATTAGCCAGGCATGGTGGCATGTGCCTGTGGTCCTAGCCACTCGGGAGGTTGAGGTGGGAGGATTGCTTGAGTCCAGGAGTCGTGGTTGCAGTGAACCATGATTGCATTATTGTCCTCCAGCTTGGGCAACAGAGCAAGACCCTGTTTAATAAATATATATATATAGGGCCTGGTGTGGGGGCTCACACCTGTAATCCTAGCACTTTGGGAGGCCAAGGTGGGAGGATCCCCTGAGGTCAGGAGTTTGAGATCAGCCTAGCCAACAGGATGAAACCCCGTCTCTACTAAAAATTTAAAGAAAAAATAAATTGGACAGGTACAGTGGCTCACATCTGTAATCCCAGCACTTTGGGAGGCCGAGGCAGGTGGATCACCTGAGGTCAGTAGTTTGAGACCAGCCTGACCAACATGGAGAAAACCTATCTCTACTAAGAACACAAAATTAGTCGGGCGTGATGGCACATGCCTGTAATCCCAGCTACTCGGGAGGCTGAGGCAGGAGAATCACTTGAATCTGGGAGGCGGAGGTTGCAGTGAGCCAAGATCGTGCCATTGCACTCCAGCCTTGACAACAAGATCGAAACTCTGTCTCAAAAAAAAAAATTTTTTTTGCTGGGTATGGTGGCACATGCCTGTAATCCCAGTTACTCAGGAGGGTGAGGCAGGAGAATCGCTTGAACCCAGGAGGTGGAGGTTGCAGTGAGCCGAGATCACACCACTGCACTTCAGCCTAGGCGACAAAGCGACACTCCCTCTCAAAAAATTTAAAAAAAAAATTAAGCTGGGGACGGTTGTTTACGCCTGTAATCCTAGCACTTTGGCAGGCCGAGGCTGGTGGATCACTTGAGGTCAGGAGTTCAAGACCAGCTTGGCCAATATGGTGAAACCCCATCTCTACTAAAAATACAAAAATTAGCCAGGTGTGGTGGCTCGTTCCTGTAATCCCAGGTACTCGGGAGGCTGAGGCAGGAGAATCGCTTGAACCCAGGAGGCAGAGGTTGCAGTGAGCTGAGATCATGCCACTGCACTTCAGCCTGGGCAACAAAGCGAGACTCTGTCTCAAAAAAAAAAAAAAAATAGTTGTAAGGATCAAATGAGACAATTAAGGCAAACCGCCTAAGACAATGCCTTGGCTGATTCCCTTCCCACTACTCTTCCTCTACTCAGTCCTCCTCAGTTACAGGGATTCTCTTTCTCACAAAGATTAAATTCTGCTGTAAAAACTACACACACATCTCTAAAAGTAACGTGTATACTCTGAGGTCTGGTTTCAAAACTTGGTCATCCTTTAAAACTTCCAAGTACCTAGCTTAAGACTCAGTAAAGACATGTTCATCTGCTGACTCACTAACCAAATGAAAGTTTTCCAAATGCTAGACAATTAATCCCTTTTTTCACGCCATTTTTCCCCCTGCTGTTCAGGAGCTGTATATGTCATTTTAAATATAAATTCCACACTGGGCATGAGATTTCTCATGCCTGTAATCCCAGCACTTTGGGAGGCTAAGCCAGGAGAATCCCTTGAGGCCAGGAGTTCAAAACCGGTCTGGGCAACATAGAAAGACTCCCATCTCATTAGCCGGGTGTTGTGGTGCACGCCTATAATCCTAGCTACTCGGGAGGCTGAGGTGGGTGAATCGCTTGACGCTGGGAGGCAGAGCTTGCCTGGGTGACAGAGGAAGACTCTGTCTCAAAAAAAAAAAAAAAAGAAAAGAAAAGAAAAGAAAGGAAAGGAAGAAAATAAAGACTCCCATCTCTACAAAAGATTGTAAAGATTAGCCGGGCATGGTGGCATATACCTGTGGTCCCAGTTACTCAGGAGGCTGAGGTGGGAGGATCGCCAAAACCCAGGAGTTCAAGGCTGCAGTGAGCTATCATCATGCCACTGTACTCCTGTCTGGGTGACAGAGCAAGACCCTGTCTCTTAAAAAAAAAAAAAAAAATAGGCCAGGTGCAGTGGTTCACACCTGTAATCCCAGCACTTTGGGAGGCCGAGGCAGGCAGATCACCTGAGGTCAGGAATTTGAGACCAGCCTGACCAACATGGAGAAACCCCACCTCCACTAAAAATACAAAATTAGTGGGGCATGGAGGCACATGCCTGTAATCCCAGCTACTCAGGAAGCTGAGGCAGGAGAATCGCTTGAACCTGGGAGGTGGAGGCTGCAGTGAGCCGAGACCACACCATTGCACTCCAGCCTGGGC